GAGAGAGAGAGAGAGAGAGAGAGAGACAGGGTCACATCACAGTGGATTCAGCTGTCTTAACCGTGGCTTGTGTACTGCAAACACATACCAGCTTCATCACTGTGTCTGTCACGCGACTCTGTTCCCCTTTCGGGCTTGAACTGATGGTAAAACTAATGACATTATTTACCGTCTTTACATTTATTTTGAAAGATGCAGCTCGCGATTATGGTAAGGGGCGTTACATTTCCGAAGAGTGCGGCCAATCACAATGCACCGGGTCAGCTGGCCAATCAGAGCAGACTGCGCTTGTCGGAAGGAGGGGCTTTGTTGAAAACGAAGCGTTTGAGAGAGGCGGGGCATAGAGGACCTACAATAATGTACAGTATTTGAAAAATAATGTGTTTTTTGAACATTAAAGCATGTCAACATATTCTGTTACACCAAATACACAAAATAATGATCTTTAAAAAAGCATCATATGACCCCTTTAACTTCTCTAATGTGACATAAAACTGAATATTTTAGGGAAATAAAGCAGGGATTTTCCTGTATCTGAGATACAATTTTATTGTGAACATAAACACATTCCACATATTAATTATTTACATTTTAACATAACCACTTATTATTTTACCCTTCCATGCAGCCTTGGTTATGTTAACAAAACTACTTTCACAGTAGAGAAAGTAATTACATTGTGATGAAAGGAAAACAAACTTTATTCTTTTATAATGAAGAATAAAATTACACTCCAAACGAGATGCGATGCAGTAAGATCTCAATGATAAACAATTTGTCTGTTCACAGTGAATGCAAAAATGCTGTGCCACGGAATGCAGTCACAGCCAGTCGCATTTAATGGCTGTATGAAGCTTGATTTTGGACTGATGGGATTTGTGGGTAGGGCTAACCCGTATGATGCAGAAGAAATAGAGACCAAGCTGTTGACAAAATGCAGTGTCTCATGTCATTCACAATTGGCGTAAGAAGGACGTCTCTCGACTCATTCTCCCATTGCCGACTCTGTTTTACCACGTCCCCTTGCCAAAGCATCTGTAAGGGTACAGTGAAAACTGCAAAATCTGAAATTAAAAGAAAAATCTGAATTCAGACTTAAGGTCTTTGCACACTGAGTACGAAATTCTCATCTGAAATTTTCGAACATTAAAAAATAAATATGACCTCACATTGTGTTAATCACGTTTACACACTGCCTCCGAAACTTTCGTCCGTCATAAAAAAAAAATTCAATCAGGTTCGATTTTCTGCGTTTTTGCATCCGTAGCAAGCATTTTGTTAGGAAAGGATTACGAATACGAAAAAAAAAAATGCATATGTCATCAGATGCTATTCAAGTACTAATAATGTGTTATGATTGGTGGTTTATTATCCAAGGGGGATATCTCATCAGATCAGTGATAGAAATACCAGTGCTTAAAACACTTGCTCATTGAGCGCTCATCATCTTCATCACCTTGCCAGAATCAACAGCTTTCTCTCTGACTGTCTCTCACCAGGTAAGACATACACTATGATTGGCATGGACAGCTCCACGCAGAGCCTTGGCATTGCGCCCTGTTCCATCTCCTGGCTGTTCAAGCTCATCAATGAGCGCAAGGAGAAGACTGGCACGCGCTTCTCGGTACGGGTGTCAGCCGTGGAAATCTACGGCAAGGACGAGAGCCTGCAGGACCTGCTTTCTGATGTGCCCACAGGAAGTCTGCAGGACGGCCAGTCGCCTGGTGTTTACCTGCGTGAGGACCCCATCTGCGGCACACAGGTCAGGAACACCCCACCTAGACGTCAAATTTAGCTTCTTTTTCCTGATAAAGCCCTCCCGGTTTTGCTTGTCATGTAGTTACCAAGTGTGCCACACATGTCCTGAAAATTTAAACCAAAATATTTTGATCACTTCCTTGGAGTGTAGGTCAGAAACCCCGCCCCTTCTCCATGTAAACGAATCGGACATGAGCCAACCAAAAAGAATAGTAAAAATTAAGTTTGGTTTTCAGTTAGTAATTTGATGTTTGATAAAAAAAAGTCATGTTACGAAGAAACAAGTGAAAATTAAAAGTTAAAATGAACAGTTATTGCTAAGTTAAGGCTTTTCAGTGATTGATGCTATATATTTTAATTTGTTCAAATATGCTTTATATCGCAAAATTTAGTTTGTAGAATCTCTTAGTTTATACAGATTGTGATTGTGATGTGATGTTCCGTATTTATTTGACCCTCTAACTCTAGCACTTTCTATTCTATTTTAATTCTACTATATCTATTTATCTTCTTTTTTTATAAAAAAAAACACTAGCTTCGCAGCACGTAGCACCAACCGGCCAGATGCAGATGAGGAAGACCGCCGCAACTCCCACATGCTGTTCACCTTACACATCTACCAGTACCGCATGGAGAAGAGCGGCAAGGGTGGAAGTAAGTCTTGTGTTTGCACTGCGTGAAATGATACTGCTACGTTGTTGAAGGCTCTGCGTGTGCTAAATCGATTATACTCAGTCTAGTCTAATTCTTTCTCTTCCTCCTCATTTTCCCAGTGAAAGGGAAAATACATCTCAAGCTTATTAATGTAATAGCTGTGATATTACAGGCCAAATCAGAGAGCTACCAGAATCCCTTCAATTTGCCTCTCACTCCATCATGGTAGGAGGGAAATCAATCATGTTTGCTTTGACCACTTCATTAAACTTTAATAGGAATTTTAACAGATAGTAATAATTCATGAGCAGCTAACAGCTCTAATCATAGTATAGAGGTACCTGTCACTGTGCCATCGTGCTGCAAATTTGCATAGGTAAATACAGTGTTGGACACCATCCCATAACAGTGAAATTGCCATGGAAGCTTCTTTAAATGGCTTCATCAATCCTGCTGATTTTAACCCACTTTTAGAAAAAAAAAGAAAAAGATAAACCGCAAATGGCAGACATGTTTGCTATTCATTGCTATTCAGATATTCATTGTCCTTGCTAGTCATAGCTGAGGATATAATCATTGAAACAGTTCCACGTCTGTACAGCATCCAGATTAACACACAATTAACCTGTAGTTTCTATCAACGGTCTGTTATATTCACAGGGCAAAGATGAGTAGATCACAGAGACTCACTTGTCTATATATTTAGAGCATAGTATGATCATAGGTGTTTATCTAGGCCAGCTTGTTCTGTCTTTGAATCATAACGGGCTGGGTAACTTACTCCTGAATAAATCACACACGGTCTTGTCAGTCGCAGGTCTTCTCTGGGGATGTTTATTAATATATTTGTTATTTGCCACTCCTTACTCTGCCCGACATTACCTCAGTGTGGGAGTGTCGTCAGCGTGGTATAACCGCACTGGCAGCGTCTGAAACTTTCAGTGATATCGGTAATGAGTGGGGTTGACAGTGTATTTGTAACTTCTATTACAAGGATGGTTAGGCTGGAATTATCTGTACAGAATGAGATATTGCCCTCTCAAGTAATCATCTGTGCTGTGCTCATTTATTTTGTTCGGTCAAGTTTGCTTTGTCTACAACCATAATACTTTGGAATTAAACTGCATAATGTAAGTAGTTTTATTTGCGACGAGCTTTGGGAATGAACTAATTGTCATTTACTCTTCTATTTGTTTTTGCTTATTGGCTTTTATCTCTCTAAATATGCATAAACGCTATTGTGTTTCCATGATTTTGTTATAATTAACATATAGAATGAATGTTAATGAATGTGAATTGCTAGATCAATGCAGAGCTGATGTAAATTTAACTGAAATTAATTTTTATTTGTGGAAGGACAGTATGATTGCACTGGTTGTAGTGTGGGACACCAGGGATCACCTCTGATTTTCTCTTTTTTCCCCTCCATCAGTGTCTGGTGGTAGGAGCAGATTGCATCTGATTGACTTGGGAAGCTGTGAGAAGGTGCTTTGTAAGAGCAGGGATGCAAGAGGAGGTCTGTGTCTGTCTCTGACTGCGTTAGGAAACGTGATACTGGCTTTGGCCAATGGAGCTAAACATGTTCCATACAGGTAAGATAATGTTAATTTTTGCCACAAAATAATAAGAAATCAAAATGGGTCATGTTGCTTCAGATGTGTAGATATGGTTTTAGCATCTTTGATATAAATATTTCTAGTCAAATAACATTACTAGCATAAATAGAATTACATGATAATTCTGAATGTCTTCCTGAGGTCTTATGTGTTTTTATAGAGGATGTAATACTGAAGCATTTGAGCGCATAATGAACGATGTGAGCAACAAGCTTGAACCTGTGATCTTTGTGTTGACAGGTTTATTGTTTGACTAATGCACTGTTGTTTATCTGTATTTTGCTGAACTCATAGAACATGCACCTCTTTTTAAAAATGTAAAAAAAAAGTCTTGTTGGGGTTCCATATGCCTTATTTCCCACCATTCTAAAACCTATTCACATTTGGCAGAATTGCAGTATAGACATATTTGTAGCTTTTTGTGATTAATATCATGGTAGGACTGTATAGTAAACCTTTTGACGGTTCTGCACTTTTAGAGAACAGTTAATGGCCAGGCTTCCTCAGTACTTGAGTAAACAGCTGACTTTCTGCTGACAATCTATCAAGCTGTGTTTATGCTGACAATGAAAATTTATTTTTCCAGGGATAGCAAGCTCACCATGTTACTGCGAGATTCCTTGGGGAACATCAACTGTAGGACAACCATGATTGCCCACATCTCTGACTCCCCTGCCAATTATGCAGAGTCTCTTACCACCATTCAGCTGGCCTCCCGAATCCATCGTATGAGAAAAAAGAAATCAAAGGTACATTTTTAACTGACTACAATTTAGGAATTCTTATAATAATTGTATATTGTATTTGGAGGATCAGTGCTGATTTTAATCCAATTAAAATCCAGTTTTAGACCAAATAAAATCAACTGTCTATGAATAACAACATAGAAATATGTTTAATGCATATTAACATCAACAATTATAATGAGATTGTAATTGAGTATCATAAGTTTTATGATAAAAAAATAGTAAACTTTAAAATAAATAAATAAAAAAGTCACTTGATGTATTGCCCTTGTGTTCATACTTTATTGACATGGTTACAACTATTTCCAGAGTTTTTTTTTTTTTTTTAAATGATACTTTGTCTTTGCCAAGTATGCATCCAGTTCCTCTGGAGGAGAGAGTTCCTGTGATGAAGGAAGGATTCGTCGACCACCACATTTGCGGCCCTTCCATCCTCGCACTGTGGCCCTTGACCCAGATCTACCATCATTCCTCAGTGATCCTGACTACTCTTCAAGTAGTGAGCAATCATGTGACACTGTAATTTATGTTGGCCCTGGTGGTGCTGCCATCTCTGATCGAGAGCTCAGCGACAATGAAGGACCCCCAGCCTTTGTTCCAATCATCCCCTCTCTTAACCGTAAGCAACGAGGGAAAGAAGGGCCAGTTGACTGTGATCACTTCAAATGTAACACCTTTGCTGAGCTTCAGGAGCGATTAGAATGTATCGATGGTAGTGAGGAGCCTACAGACTTTGTTGGAGAATCTGGAGGAAATTCTGCAAGCCCTAAAATGGACCTTGATGCAACCAAGTTGAAAGAAGGCTCTGGCAGCATTTCAGTTTCTCCCAAGACTCCTACCAAAGCGCTCTTATCAACACAGGACAGCATATCCAAAAAGTCCATTACTGTAGCCAGTAAACTGCCTGGCAGTCCAAAACACAAATCCAAATTAGAACATTCTAAGTTGCAAAGTGCCATATCGGAGAAAGATCTCAGAGACATGTCTGAGAGTAGGACAAGTGCAGATGGTGAAAAGGTGCAAATGTCAGAAAATGGAACTCTCCTATGCACTCCAGGAAAACAAAGTAAACCAAGAGTATCCCAAAACTCAGAGCCTGTGGTTAGGGAAAAGGTTTTTTTCAGTAAAAAGTTACCCAAGCCTGCTCCCCCACCACCACAACAAAAAGATTATGTCAGGATCAGTAGTAGTGAAAGTGAAGAAAAGTCTGCCACAAGGATACCACCAATTGGGATGAGTCATCAAAAAAGAGGTGATTCAAATGAGAACTCACCGGTAAAAGTCCATCACCTTAATCCCAGGACTTCAGGGGAAATGAGGTCCAATCTTAGGGAAAGGTGCATGGAGAAGGACATATTAAGGACAACTGTAACCCTTAAACAGCCAGTGGAGCTAAATGGTGAGGATGAGCTTGTATTCACTCTTGTGGAAGAGTTATCAATTGGCAATATTGTGGACAATGGAAGGCCCCCCAGTATTGTAAGTTTCAATAGTGATTGCTCACTACAGGCCCTTGCCTCGGGATCACGACCAGTAAGCATCATTAGCAGTATCAATGATGAATTTGATGCCTATACATGTAATGTTGGTACCTCAGAGGCAAACATTAAAATGGTGGCACCATTACAGGAGAAAGCATGTACTTCACTTGGCAGCCGTGGTTCTTCTATCACTTCATGGCTTAGTGAAGTAAGTGTCTGTACTCTGGAGAGTGAAGGTGCCCAAACAGTAGATGTCTTTCTCCCTCAAGGTACTCATACCGGCCCAGACAGCAGCTTCTACCTTGATTCTCTTAGGATGTTCCAAAGCAGCCATCAAAAGGAACCTAAAAACTCTTTGAATGATAGTGGCTGTAGCTTCTCAGATTTGGACAGTGACAGTGCTATATCAGGTAAACTCTCTCTTAGCAAGTGCCCATCCTCTCCAGAGGCCCCACAACAGCCTGCCAAAAGTTTACCAAAACTGGCAAAGGCAAATACCATTAATTTATCTGATCCCAAGTCTTTTCAAGATTCTCAAGTTGTCCAGTGTAGTCTTTCCAGGAAATTAAAACCTACCTCATCCACAGTCCAGAGTAGTTGTATCAGTGGAAGCAGCTCCAGTACCAACTGGAGACGTGAGCCACCAAGGCAAGACTGCATACCAGATCCATGGCACCAAGTAGATAGCTCATTGGAGTCTTCTATAACCTTTAATTCAGGTTCGTCCAGACTGGTTAAAAATGGAATGAGTGGAATTCCTGCAAGAAAAGCAGGCCCAAGTAGCAACAGTGGATCTCGGTTGCCCAAAACACTAGGGTCAAACCCATCCCAAAGGGTGGTGGACGGATGTGAAAAATCCAGCAACAACAGGAAGATGGAGTCCCCAAGCAAGATGCCACAGCTCAGACGAGGCGCAACAACACTCGGGACAGTTCCAGTCATACATTCATCCATTGATGTCAAGCTTGCTCAAGATATTGGTACCTCAGGAGGAAGTTTAAAGTTCTCCTCTTTAGGAAAAAGTGGAAAGGCAAGCAAGCAGGAGGAGAGTATGTCAAAACCTGGCAATGTATCACCACCTCCTCCTCCAGTTCGCAAATCTAGTTTGGATCAAAAGAATCGAATCCTGTTTCCCTCAAGTGCCTTAAAGTCTGCTTATGAGGCAGGAAAGTCTTTAGCACCAAGGGCTACAGGTTTAGAGGATGATATTGATCTTAGCTCTAGAGGAGATTCAAATAGTTTAAGAACATCTAACTTAAAATCAGAGCATAGTTTGATAAAAGCAACCTCTAGTCTCAAAGCTAGAGGAGCTAGACGTGATACAGGACAGCTTTATGGGAGCCAGATATCTCTAGACAGATGTGACAGTTTGTCATCTTTGGGGTCGAAACCTGCTCTTAGTCGAGAAAACAGTGGTGCTAGTCTCAACAGCAAGTCAAGCAAGTCTGTCGGTAGGTTTGGATCACCTGTTGCCACCTATTCCCCAATTGCTACCTCTCCACCTTCTTGTATAAACCCAGTAACCACTGTAAAAAGTGGGATTGTCAAAGGCAGCCTTAACGCAAGACAAATACCTGTTAATGCAAATAAAGCTCGTACATTATCTGCAAGCAACTCCAAAGCCCTGAGCTCATCCACTAAATCTCTTGTGGCACCTGCAACAAGGAATGCCAACCTTCCACCTTCAGGAAAGACTGCATTACCTCGAGCAACAGTAGGAGGCAATGGTAAATTCACAAGAGGAACAATAATGGGTACCAAGCAAGCAATGCGGGCAGCAAACAGTCGCGTTAGTGAGTTGGCATTGGCCAATCCTTCTGGGAAACATGCAAAGGGCTCAGGTGATTCTGACAGTGGCAATGACAGTGGAGTGAACCTCAATGATGACCAGCATACCCCAATCCCCATTCTCCCATCCCCATATAGTAAGATCACAGCCCCCAGAAGACCTCAACGCTACAGCAGTGGCCACGGAAGTGATAACAGTAGTGTCTTAAGTGGAGAGTTGCCTCCTGCCATGGGACGAACTGCACTCTTCTACCACAGTGGAGGGAGCAGTGGATATGAGAGCATGATCCGTGATAGTGAAGCTACTGGTAGTGCTTCTTCAGCCCATGACTCCATGAGTGAGAGTGGGATGTCCTCCTCTGGTCGCACAAGAAGCTCCAAAGCACCCAAGAAGAGGTCAAATGGTGAGTAGCATCTCTTGTTGTATATGAAGACCTGAAGTTTTTGATAGTCATATTGCTTTCGTAGTTTTTTTTAATGGCCCTCAAGCATGAACCATGCTAACACTGAAGCCCACAAGGAACAGCTTTTTTTCCTGAGAACTACTCTAGACAAAAATACTATGAAACAGGTGAAATTTTATTAGTTTTATTGTATAAATAATATATGCCTTCTTGAGATGAATACAGCACAGGTAATGCTTATAACATGCATCTGCACATCACATGCAATTTAGTCAGGAGATTTTGATATGAATCTCCATCCAGTCTACATCCTCATACACATACAAATAACTAGCACAGTTTAGAATTTTCCTATTCCTCAATATATTTTTGCTTGCTTGCTATTTCTTTACCAATCCATGCAATGTTTCTCTGCCCTAATTACTTTTCTATCTCACATATTTCCTTTGTCTCTCCATGGAGCAGGCCTCCAGAGGAGGCGTCTCATCCCAGCTCCCTTACCGGACACCTCCCTGGGGAAGTCTGGGACCACGGGTCAGTGGGTGGACCTTCCCCCTATGTCCGGGCCACTGAAAGAGCCTTTTGAGATCAAAGTGTATGAAATTGATGATGTGGAGAGGCTTCAGCGGCGAAGACAAGAAAAGACAGATGAGGTTAGAATAGGTTATATGGGTGTTTTTTTTGGAAACTGAGATCCGGTTCAGTGCATTCATATTTAACCTTAGTCCATTCTCATGGGAATGTAAAACATGTCATATATGCTTGCTTTTGCATCATACATAGGACAGTTGCAATATGTCATGAATAATACATAGATGAATAACTATCTATAACTATGTTTGCACAGTGCATAGCTGAGATGTCAGAGACCAATTTTGTCCATAACTACCTTCCCAAAGATTTCCTTTGATCTAGGTTGAGATAGATTTTCGTATGTAAAGAGCAATATTATTAGCTCAGCAATATGCTTCATGTATTATATTCAAACTCTGGACACTGAGTGAAGGTTTTGGCCCTTTGCTTCTTATTTAAAAGTATTAAGATAATGTACAGCGTAGGGCATTAACCTGCCAGTAATAGGGAACGAGAAAAACAGTTGTTTCTTTGGAAAAGGAAAAATGGTTACATTTGAAATACTAGAGTGATGAAAAACAATTAACTCTATGGAATTAATTGGTTTGGGCAGGAGCAAGCAAGCATAACAGCAAGCAAGAAAGGGTGTAAAACTGTTGAAGTATAATGATGCAGTTAAAATAATGTTATATTTTCTCTCATTAAATCAGCAGGGTAATGTTCTCACATAAATCCAAGAAGATAATCTTCAATTTGTCTGTCAGTGTTTTTAAGACCAATTGGTATTGCATTGGACAATATTTACCTCGAAGCATGTGTCTTCTATACCGTTATGCTAAAGCATTATAGCATGCACAGGAGTATTTATCCAGGGATATTATAGTATTATTGAATAATAGGAGTGCATATACAGTTGCAATCAAAATTATTCAACCCCCCAGAGACTGTAGTATTTTACAAATACAAGCTTTTCTAAAGCTCCGGGATTTTATAAATGCATCTATAACAGTTTGCTGGTATATTAAAAGTGATCGTGTTAATATATATGAGCAATATCACTCAAGTACCATTGCGTGCAATTACAACAAATACATTTCCAGCATCTTACGCAGCATTAATATTTATACAAAAAGGCTAGTTAATAAGTTAAACTGATATTTTCCCCTCAAAAAAGTAATCAGCATTTCATAACATAAAATATATTTATATATTTTTTGTTCCTAAGTTGTTTTTTTTTTTTTTAATCTCAGTCAGGTTTATTTTATTTTACAAAAAAATATGTCCTAAGCATATCATAAAATATATTATTTATGTATTTTTGTTTTTCATTAAACAATTACAATTTGCTCAAAATCTGTTACATTTCTGATTTACGGCGAGTGATGGTTCTCGGAACCACTGTTTACATTTATTTGTACGTTGCCGTAGGCCTATATCGTAGGCTACATCCCGCTAAATAGTTATTTGGAGATAAAGTCTTTGTTGTTCTTTGTTGTTTTTCTGGTATGGTTTCCGTTTGATCTGATGCTAGTACTGCACTCCAGCGTTTTCTGTTGTTTAGTTATGGTCTCCAGTAGGATTTCAGTGAGCTTTCTGACCTAAAAAAAATGTTTTAAATTAGAATGCGTATTTTGCATCATTTCATTTCCACTGTATGGGTTAAACAAATCAGAAACATACCTGTGTCCGCTGACGGCTATGATTTCTCTCGCTTGGAGCCCTGCATCAGACAGTTTTTGGATTGCAGTGGCCCTGATGTTGTGGTTTGTGTAGGACGATCGCGTCCCAGCTTCTTTGCACATTCTCGGGAGCATTTGTGACAGCTGATTAATGCCCAAAGGAACAGTGCTATACCATATCTTGTCTTTAGCTTCAAATCTCCTCTTAGGGTGCAGATAGAGTGCTTTTGCGTCAGGTGGGAGTTTGCTGAGATATTTCTCTAGCGAAGAAACTGGGCACATGGGGTTACCGGGCTCTTCAAACATAGCGACCCTCCGATTTCCCTGTCGACCTCCAGTGGGTTTTTGTGGTTTTTCATTTCCTCATTAAATGTCAACGTGAAATATTTCGTACAATTTTCGTCTCTCTTTAGTTCAAACGAGTCCTTTTGCCCTCCTTCCCTCTTTGTGCAAAGTGTAACTGAATGTCATACCACACTAGGGCTGCACATAAATCGCATGCGATATTTAATGCGCATCTGATCAGTAAAGCCGGTTCTGTAATCAGCGGTAAATCTCCATCACGTGCGTGCTTTCACATTGAGCAGCATTAACTACACAGAGCCATTGTTCACTGACGAGCTGCGCAAAACCACGTTCATATTCGCGCGATTTTTTGCGCAGCTCGTCAGTGAACAACGGCTCTGTGTAGTTAATGCTGCTCAATGTGAAAGCACGCAGGTGGAGATTTACCGCTGATTACAGAACCGGCTTTCTGACAAGATGCGCATTAAATATCGCATGCGATTTA